TTTATGATGACCGACCCAAATTCTACAGAACCTGAGAGCCGTTGTGAGCCACCTAGAATGTGAGACTGGACCTATCTACAGGTAAGCAAGTCTATCAGGCATGACCCCAGTTTTGATGGCACTGCAAATCATGTAACCATAGTACTGGTCGATACTCCAGGTCGTCCCAATGACAGTATGCCAAGCTCAGCAGTGGAGGCCAACTGTGATTTTTCCGCTTCGGATTTATTTCTAACTCGGTGGCAGAGTCCAGCATCTTGCCAAGAGACCAGACCATCTGTTGTTTGAAAGAGTCTTGCCATCAGCTCCTGGATCAGATGTCTGAGTGGCAACTCGTTGGTGTGGAGGTCACAAACAATCCAGACCAGCTTCCTCCCAATCTTCCGCTCTATCCATTGTATGACCCCCCTTGCCACCCTGTGTTCGTGTTGGTGCTGTCCCCTCCAATGGCCTGCAGGGTCTGGTCTACGTTCCTCTCTCTGAGCCAGTTCACAATGTTATCTGCCACTATCTCAGCTGGTTTCCTGATGTCATCTTTCTCTGGAGTGAAATGCCACAAATACTTCCCTCCTGGTTCACTGCAGCAGGAGTAGTGTTCCTCCTTCACCATGGCCGGGAACAACTTGTCAGAATCTCCAACTTTCATGAAAACTTTAGTGTCATCCTTCTCCCATCAAGAACAAACAATTGATTCCATTTTCTCTTATCCCTTATCAAACTCCTTTTCTGGGTTACTGACAAGTTTCTCCTGAGCTCTCCTTACTTTGTTATGATGTATCCTTAGTGTAGACATCATCAGGTGTTATCAAACCACCCGTCAATCCAGGCAGCTGTTGCTATCTCTGCAGTTTCTCTGAGACCAGTGTGGTGTCGCATGCTGGCCAGAGCTATGCTCGGGATATCTTTCCTATTTCGAATCTTATGCCTGGAAGGTTTGGGATCATTATTTTCTGGGTTAGGGACAAAGTCACCATTCTCCTGGTCAGCACTCTGAATCAGCTTGACTCCAATCATCGGCCTTTTTTACCTCACTCTGGGCCTTCTCAAGTCTCTTTTCCTCGGCAACTCTTCTCCTCTTCTGCCTCTCTGTGGCAGCCTCCTGTCTCTTGGACTCCGGATTATCTTGGCTAGAAATCATGAGAGCCCCTATACTGCCAGTCTTCTCTCTGTGCTTTGACAAATGCCAGTTCGATCACAGGAATCTTCAGTTCACGCTTGCAAATACAGGAGATGTGGGCCTCGGATTTACAGTCACGATCGCATCCAAACTCAGGACAGAGAACAATTGGGCACTTGCAAGTAATTATGTCAAATAACTGGTCCAGTTGCTTGGCAAAGCTGTCCTTAACTGCAAGTTTTCCTCTCCCAAGAGAGATATCTCTTGCCTTTTCCCAACTGGCTAGCAGTCTCTCACTAATCTTCTTCTGACTTGTTATGACTGGAGGCTTGAACTGAGCGTTAGCCAGAGTGTACTGTGCCAAGACAGCTTTGGTCATATCACTGGCAATGTCTTTGTTTGTGTAAGTTCTTTGGTTCTTTTCACTGATTTGCCTGATTAAAACACCGTATCTCAAAGCATCTCTCAATGTAGGCAACTCCGACTTCAGGAGCTCTCTCCCAGACCCAAGATAGTGACTGAGATGGCTGGATTTTTAGTTCCTCGTCCTGACACAAGCAGCCATCGCAAATATTATCAACTTATAAATGCATCAGAATATGAAACAGAAAAAAATATTGTTACTTGGGTTGTTAAAGAATGAAGTCAGAAAGCAATGTTCACTATTTAATTGTAATGCACTAATGCAGCTGTACGTTAGATTTTCGATAAATTTCACGCTAACATTTACCTAGCAAAAGGTTGCAAAATATTGAAACTGAAATTATTTTCTGTTTATATACACTAAAATCTACCAAAAAAGTGATGGGCCATTAGTTTTAGCTGATCTTCCCTCCTATGACACACCCTAGTGTATAACATAAATGATTCTTTAATACGTGTAAATAAATAATAAGATGTAATATTTAACAAGATGAATTATACTAAGAAAAATTATGATTATTATTGTTATTGTTAGTTACTATTATTATTTTAATTTATTATTATTATTATTATTATTATTATTATTATTATTATTATTATTATTATTATTATTATTATTATTATTATTATTATTTTTATTATTATTATTATTATTATTATTATTATTATCATTATTATTATTATTATTATTATTATTATTATTATTATTATTATTATTATTATTATTATCATTATCATCTTTATTAGTATTACTATTTTTCACCAAACAGTTATCAAGCATAATCGCATACCCGAGCTTCATCAACATTTCACATGAATTAATATGAATTCAACTTGCATGATCAACAACAAAGTGAATTGTACTTCGCAATTATCGCTACGTTGCTTTCACATATTTTGGGACAGTTTAGAAACCAACTCTGCGAAGTATGCAACACATTTTCGCTCACTGATCTATAAACAAAATTTAACGGTAATATTGCTGTTCATAATTTAATGTTTCACAGTATGGTTTTAGGCTAGGTAAGATTAGGTTAGGTTAGGTTAGGTTTTAGGCAACATACTGTACAGTATACTGGTAGGTTAGGTTACGTAAGGCAAGGTTAGGTTAGGTTAGGTTAGGTTAGGTTAGGTTTTAGGCAACATACTGTACAGTATACTGGTAGGTTAGGTTACTTAAGGTAAGGTTAGGTTAGGTTTTAGATGCAACAGAACCTCAGTCCGGAACTTTAGCTTTGACTTGTGACACTAACCTTTCACCTAAGCTCTTCAAAACTATACAAACTCCTCTTTTGCCAGCAACCAAAGTGTCGACGAAATTTTACCCAACTCGGAGAATATGATTTATAAATATATTGTTGACAAACAGAGAGAGACACAGAGGTGATATGTATAGTCCTAGTACCGTAGTGAAGAGGCTATTTATTACCCAGTGACGCAAATTTTGTGCCACACTAACTACTCAACCACCCACTTTATTATATCATTCCTTGGAGGTAAACAAAGCCTTAATTCTATGATGCCTGACGTAAGTATAGTGCAAGTTTATCTGTGAGTTAGATATATAATGTTGACGAGAGAGTTATGAGGGGGTGTAGGTGTGTGGAGGAACAGTGTTGAGGGATTCTCTTTGGTGTTGAGGGATTCTCTTTGTTTTCTCCTCTTATTCTCTCTCACACACATCATTTTTTCTCTCACGCTTATTATTGTGTTAGCTTTACGATAACGTATTCTGTATGTATCTCTCTGTCTCTAGTGAGGTAATCAAATATTACCCGACATGGAAGTGAGGACATATTCCTGCAATCTGTAGCGCTCTGTACTGCTAAGACACTCACGGTAACACACCTACATTACATCCTTGACCACCGAAGGGTCAAGACGTACCTGGCGCTCCTCTCGGAGCAGCCAGGTCAACTGTTAAGTTGGCCCATACCAACCCCCTCCCCTGAACCCTCCTCCCCACCGGAATATCAACAAGTTCTCGCCAGAAGTTACAATTTCATTTAGGAAAGGAACGGAACCAGTGTTAAACAGAGGTGAACAGCGGTGAACAGCTTAAGTCAGTGAGAACAACTCAACAGTAACAGTCGTACCCAAGTTAACCTTCACACAGTGAGGTCCCAGGTACCCAGTGATAACGGCCCGTGAGACCCAACAACAACCAGAGATGTGTTAATCCGTCTACGATAGGAAGGCCTAAGACCACACCTCACTCATATAACACCATCTGTGAGGGAATTACTACACCACATGTCCCTCATAACACCATATGTGAGGGAATTACTACACCACGTCAAGTCCCTCATAACGCCATCTGTGAGGGAATTACTACATCACGTGAGGTCCCTCATAACACCATCTGTGAGGGAATTACTACACCACGTCAGGCCCCTCATAACACCATCTGTGAGGTAATTACTACACCACGTGAGGTCCCTCATAACACCATCTGTGAGGGAATTACTACACCACGTGAGGCCCCTCATAACACCATCTGCGAGGGAATTACTACACCACGCCAGGTCCCTCATAACACCATCTGAGGGAACTACTACACCATGTGAGTTCCTCCTAACACCATCTGGGAGGGAGTTACTACTCTACGAGTTTCTTGTTCAACACCTACATTAATCTGTATGTTCACTGTATGTTCCTTTACCTTTCTCTAATGAAGGCTTTTGTTAAAGCACCAATGTATGTAATAAGTCATTTATGTCCAATGTATATTTTCAGCCTTCGGGCTGCAGAATTTTTTCAATAAACCGTTAATTATTATTATTATTATTATTTATTAGTAACTCAATAACTTTTACCTATAGTATCACAGTATTTGTTAACCAATTGCAATTAATAACTAAAACTGCATTCGAGTATCATACCAAGTCACGCTGGTTGGTTTTCTTTCTTACTTTGGTTTCATCATGGACGGTAAATCATTAAATTAAATCCCGAGACAAGTCCCAGAAATCCCGGGATTTTCCGATTTTTATAAAGCTGTCTACAAACAATAAAATATTTTAGTACAGAAAATATAATAATTCTGGTCAAGTTCTTCCTGTTTTTACCCCGTAAACTACTCGTATTATTACTTTGTACTCAGGTGCTATATTAAAAAACTTTTTTTCAATAAAGTTTACAATATATATTAATTTTCGTGCCTTAGTATTACAGTGTGAAGTTGTGAACTGTGAACCGCATATTAGGATTTTTTTTATTTGCTCATACATCTCTTCCTGTAAGTAAACCGGGAAATCCTGGTATTCCGGAACAAGGAGTGGTTGTATCCCACAATCCCGGAATAGAGAAATCACCGAAAAATAATTTGATATCCTATTTCCGACGTTTTGAGTTGTTAGTTGATCTTTAGAGCCTTGGGGATTGTCAAAGGGAACATATTTACAAACACAAGCAACTGCCCCGGTATGAATAATCTAATAATGATGTTTCTTCTTCTTCTTCACCAGGATCGACACATTCAGTATGGGTGGTGGCGAGACGCAGAGTAGAACTACCTTGTCCACTCGACCCCAAACTACCAGACGACCAAGCAATGTTGGTTCTTTGGTACCGAGCAAGCAATACTATTCCGGTATACAGGTAGGTTAATTGTTAGTTGTGTGTCTATGTTTGGTTGTGAGTGTGTTTGATTGTGTGTTTGTGTTTCGTTGTGTATCTCTGTTTGGTTGTGTCTGTGTTTTTGTTTGGATGTGATTATGTTTGGTTGTGTCTTGTTTGGTTATGTCTGTGTGCGGTTGTAATTATATTTGGTTGTGTTTGTGTTTGGTTGAGTTTGTGTTTGGTTGTGTTGGAGTTTGGTTGTGTTTGTGTGTGGTTGTGTCTGCGTGTGTGGCTCTGTTTGTGTTTGGTTGTGTTTGAGTTTGGTTGTGTTTGTGTGTGGTTGTGTCTGTGTGTGGCTGTGTTTGTGTTTGGTTGTGTTTCAGTTTGGTTGTGTTTGTGTGTGGTTGTGTGTGTTTGATTCTGCAATATGTTTTGTTCAATGTGGCGAGATTTCAAATGTGGTTTAATTTGTGTTTAATACATTCACACAGGGTCTTTGTTATAACGTTTGGGTGTACATATGAGTGTTTTGATGTATCTATGAACAAAAATTGCTTAAAATAATCACTTAGGTGTTCTGTTGTTCATTTAATCTGTTCATGTCATTCAGTGTGTTCATTTATGGTTTCTAATTGAACAGTTGCGCGGGTGCTTTCACAGATGTGTTCTATCCTAATCATGTATATTCACGCGAACGTTCTAAGGTATTTTTCAACACATCAATAAAGTGTGGTATCTTTGAGTTGAACCTACCCAAGCAGTTACGTGTACAGTCACTTGTCTCAACTTGGGGGTCGATGAAATTCAGAATAAACACTGCGACTCCTGTTGTCTTGGTAGGTTGCTAAAATCTTCGTCTGTTGTGTAATATTTTTTCGACGCAATTTTGTAAAGAAAGTTTTTTTGAGTGACTGTATTTTTGCAGTATTCCTAAGGTTAATCTAAGCGTTTCGCCGTATTGTTAATCCAGGTTGTTCCGCAGATGGTCTCCAAGCCCTATTGCGTACAACCTATAGACCAATACACCCATCTGCTCTGCTCCACAACCCGTCTACGGACAGTTTTTCGACAGTGCTTTCCTCCTGTCCTCTCTGAGTTATTGTTGTTTTTTGTCTCTGCCTGTCTAAATTTATGGCCTTTAATTCTATATCAGTTTGATACATAGACAGTAAGTTTCTTTTTTGCGATAATAAATTTTGTTCAGACTCCCTATTAAGTTATAATGAACAGGTCTAAGAATATAGGTTGGTCGTCATTACTCGAGTTGCGGGATTATTGTGATTCGATAGTCTGGTGGGGAGAGAGAGAGAGAGAGAAGGTTTTTTTTTTTAGTTTACAAATTTATTGGCAGAGCTTGTAGTACAGTTTGCCTATTCTGAGTAATTCAGTCAGGTCTTGACACTGAGGGTCGTATCACTTCTCACTGCCACGCAGGACAGAGGTTCATACACAAAGAAATACATCATATTCATTAACAACTATAAATGTATAGAGGTCAGATTCATATGGGTAATGTCACTATTCACTGCCATGCAGGACAGAGGTTCGTACACAAAGAGTTGCATCATATTCATTGACAGTACATATACATATATGTAAACACACACACACACACACACATATACATACATATACATATATACATACACATGTACATGTACATATACATACACACACGCATACATACATACATATACGTCAGTCAGATTCATGTGGGTAATGTCACTTTCCACTGCCATACAGGACAGAGGTTCGTACACAAAGAATGCATCATATTCATATATAGGTCAGATTCATGTGGGGAGAAGGGGGGCAACACGATAGCGTTTGTGGTCCAGTGTGGTTAGTGACAGATAATACAATGTTGACTCCTCAGTTGCCGGTGGTGATGCTCCTGTGTTGGGATTCCCAGATATTTAATAGCAATAACGTTTTAATTTACTATCACTACTACCACTACGACAACTACTACTACTAATACTACTACTACTACTAATAATAATAATAGCATACAAATTTACTAACGTTATATGTCATAGTAGCAGCAATAATCTCACTTAATTTTATTAACATATTTATGTTTTATAACCACGCGTAGACTCGTATATTATGACCTCTCAGACTAGTATAGATAATACCAATAATAAAAATATAATAAATGAAAATGGATTCATGCAACAGCGTCACGTGAACTACAATTGTTATATTTTCACCTTCAAGTAGTAAGTTCCAGGTGCCCGTTCAGCTTCCTCATTGCTTTATGGATTGCTTGCGATAATACTATAGTAAAGTAGTAATATCAGGATACACTTTAAACTCCAGTTATAAACCGCTTCGTGTATCGATATTCAGAATACCTAAGCATTAACGCAAAGTGCTAATAATGTATCTGATTCGTTTCACATTGGAATTGACTCGTTATGGACTCGAGTGACTAAGAGTGACTTCTTGGAAGCATCAGTAGCTTTTATATGTGATATACTGTAGTGTAGTTAGCTCAATATCTGACTTTTTTCACGTCGAAGTGTGATAGCTTCAGTACCTAACTAGCGGGGGCTCGTAGCTTATTGTAGCAACACCTGACTTCCTCGAGGTCGATGGTACACAACATGGTTAAATAAACATTCTTTTTTTATGTGTTGACATTCACTCAGTTTAAAATGGTCTCCCACATTGTTAAGATGCCTTACGTCTCTTGTGATTTTGTTAACTAGCGTAATATTTATCTTAAGTAATTACACGAAAACGCTTGGGAACTTCGTGTTTTCTTGTTTCCTTGTGGTTATCAGCATATATATATATATATATATATATATATATATATATATATATATATATATATATATATATATATATATATATATGAATAACGTATTTTTTCTACATTAGAAAAAATATAGTTTTGAGCAAAATAAATAACAAAAGGGAGTATCAGATTTATTACTATCGCCTTAAGGTTGCGTGAGTCAGCCCAGGCAGCATTTACCGCAATTTATTCCAGTATATAACTTTCTTGTTGTGGATATCTATGACATTCGATAACGGAAAGAGTTTCAATGCTTATACTTTATACAACAGCAATTTGGGGCAAAGTTTTTATCCTGCGATCATCTGATGGTAATTATTTTTCGTGTTAACTCGAATGAAAAAAATGCACATTCCTATTCACATTATTTTTGCCTTGTTCACAACCGAGTATGGATCACATTATCTCAGGTTTGTTTCGTGTTCTTCTTCTCAACCTAACCAATTTATTCACGAAACACGAGTTTGGTACCTGTGTGAGTGAACATTTGAGGTGATGACCGGAACGTAGACTGATCATTTTCAGACTGTTGGTGCAGAAGGTCAGTAAAGTGCACCTGGAAAACGCTAGGTGTTTATTGGAGTGATGCTCTTCGTTAAACTGCATTGATTTCAATGAACATGAACCAACTCAAATGTGGTCACCAGCTAACACAAACAATGATAACAATTATATATCAAATTGATATTGGCATTGATATAAGCTTTCCTGAAACTAAATTTTTCATCGATATATATAACACATATAACTGTGTATATCATGTTACCTCGCACACTGTGGCTCCATTATAGTCGTGGTCCACAGAAATTTGTTTTTAATATCAGTTCTAACATTTCTCAATAACCGTGATGTCTACAGATGTACTCTAGTGCCACAATAGTACAGACCGTCGTCGGAAGTTGTACTAAGACACAATCGTCTGCACCGTTCACACCGTCAGTGTCTACAGATGTTGCACCAAAGTTGTGTAAACAGTATGGAGACTGTATACGGCTGTGAGATCTGACGAGAAGGTTTGTTTATTTTCCTTATGGTTAAACATTTCATCGCTTCTATGGACCAGACGAGAAGTTTCTGTTTTTGTTTTTAACTGAACGAAAAGTAGTGGTTCTTTATATATATATATATATATATATATATATATATATATATATATATATATATATATATATATATATATATATATATATATATATATATATATATTCAGAGATAATCTATCCAATAATTCCATACATCAAAGAGTTTTCTCCATACTTAACAAGAACAAGTATAATTACCATAAATATACACATTCTTCACCTAAATGTAGAGACACGTATCCCTGCTGTACAGTGATACACCTTTATACTGTTCCTAGATGCAGTACAACCCACAGCTTACCCCCAGGTGCCCCCCACCCTGCCAGCAACAACACCCCCGAGTTACGAGTCAACACAACCAACCACAATACTTTAACAAAGGCGTACACCAGAGTACAAGGACGTACAAGGGCTCATATGTACGTCCAGCTCAGCGGCCGTCTGTAGATTCGTATCTTCACTCATGTCCACATCATTACCCCTAAGACCTGTGACACACTGCTTATTGGGGTCCCACCCTCCACGACCAAAACCAAAAGAGAGCGAGAGAAACAATATACGGGTAGAAAGATACGCACGCGTAGTGAGAGAGAGAGAGTGTTCCAACTGCTGAAGACCGCAAATCGATAATCTTCTCCTTGTGTCTCATTTTATTTCAAGATGTAGTGAAGAAAGAAAGAGAGAAAGGGTGATAGAGAGAAAGATTCAGACTTTCAGACATGCAGACAGACAGAGACATATTACTTCATACCTTCAAGCCCTTGCAAGATTTTTCCATCTCGGAGGTTAAATTTGACAAAGAAATATCGCTCACAGGTGGCAACAGGTTACCATCGGGACCTCATTTCTTGGCATCGAAACTCACTTTGAGAAGTACGAGACTAACGAGATGGAGATAAAAGAGACAAAAGAATAGAAAATAAATAAGAGGGAAAATAAACAGACTATGGGTGGATATAAAGAAGATGAGAAAAATATGAAAGTCAAGAAAAGAGAAAGAGATAAATAGGAGAAGAGTGAGATGGAAATTAAGGAGTCAAGAAAAGAACGGAAAATACAGAAGCGAGGGAAATAAACGAAAAAAAAGTGGAAATAGGGGAAACTATAACAGTCTTGGAATTAAGAAATAAAATATCAGAGAGCCGCGGTGG